AGTTCTTCACACACGGAGCGTTGCCCCCAAAGCGTTACGTCGCAGACCTACCCACCTTGGCGGACCCCGTTACCCTTTGAGGGCCCGTTTCCCGGTTTACTGTTTACGGGCCTCGTGGAACGAATGCCCATACGATTAGAGAACTGTAGCAGATACAACCCGTTCGTAGTCGGTGGGGACGCGGGCCTTTAAACTCATGCAAAGAAACAGAATCAGACCATTCAGTGAGAGACATTTAACACACCTTCATTTGATGGCTGGTGATGTGTGCCAAATATGGTGTGTGTGTGGTGTGTGTGTGTGTGTGTGTGTGTGATGTGTGTGTGATGTGTGTGTGTGTGGTGTGGTGTGGTCGCTGCGGGTCCTGATGGCTCTCTGCGGCATTAAATGGCAAGCCATTAGGCATATAAAGAGCTCCATTTGCCTGCGTGGCCTCAGGTCTCTCTCTCTCTCTCTCTCTCCTCTCTCTCCTCTCTCTCTCCTCTTCCTCCTCATCCTCCATCCTCTCTCTCTCTCTCCTCTACTCTCTCTCTCTCCTCTCTCTCTCTCTTATCACCATGAGGATTTGTCTGCTCTGAAGACTTTCTATCTCTGTCCTTAGGTTCTCCTCTGTCTCTCCGTCAGAACAGACCGCTCGGGAGACCTGAACCACAGGGTATCCTGCACCGCCAGGTTCCTCCCAGTCCATTTGTTCGTCAACAGCACCAGGAGAAGATTAGAGCCGTGCATTTCCAGCCAGCCAGCTCCCAACCAGCCATAATCGTCAGGTGGAGCTGTTAGCGCTGTTTGTTGACCAAACTTCTCACTACACACCTGCCCACCAGGGGATGCTGAGATCAGATACACTGCTGGGGGAGTGCCCATGCCGCTTATCAACATGTTCAAGGTTTTCAAAGGTTAATGTCATATGCCACAAAGCCTACAGGGTAGAAATGGCCAATGCAAATGTCTCTCTGACCTGATCTCCATTCCAACAATGCAACATAATACAATACCGAAATAAAAAAATAGTGAGATCATATCACATTGTCATTAGAATAATGATATTTCGCACCAAGATGCAAGGAAGAAAAGCTGCTCTCCTCCAACCGGCCCCCTCCCCCCTTGTTTCTTTGAAATGCAAAACAAAGTTTTCACAAGTGTTTTGGAGGAGTTTTGTAAACACTGCCCTTGGTAGTTTATTCAGGAGCTGGCGTTCTTGGTAATAACACATGTGTTTGTCGGTGGCTTTCAAACTCTTTTACCTGCTGTGGGTAAAAGAAATCGTGCCTAATGCATGCTAAACACAGCGCCAGCAGAGCAGCATGGCCGAGGCTATTTATATTCGTATTGTATTATGTTGCATTGTTGGAGGAGATCATGCGTCAGGAGCATTTCATTGCCCATTCATACCCTGTACATGCTATGTGCAGCTAGACATTAAAAACCTTTTGAAAACCTTTGAACAGTGTTGCAACGCATGCACTCGACAGTGTATGCTTAGAATCTTCAGGACCCAGTCTGGTGCAGTGTGTAGTGAGAGTTGTCAACCAACAGCGCTACACTTCCATCCTGACATTATGGTGAGGGAGCTGCTGCTGGAAATCGCACGGCTATAATCTCCTG